CCCTGTATGAGGAGGAGCTGGCCTTCTGGGGCATCGATGAGACCGATGTGGAGCCCTGCTGTTGGATGACCTACCGGCAGCACCGTGACGCCGAAGAGGCTCTGGACAGCTTTGGTGGGGCGCCCCTGGATAGCAGTGCCGAGGACGGAGACATAGATGGCACCGGAGACTCGGGTGATGGTGAAGAGGAGCTGGAGATGACAAAACGCTTAGCACTTAGTGACTCCCCAGATGGCAGGTCTGGGGGCTTCTGGAGACGGTGGCAGCCCCGCATCTGGGCACTCTTTGAGGATCCCTACTCCTCCAGATATGCAAGGGTAAGCTATGCAATCAGCACCCTCATCAAAACACTGAACCTCCCTTCAGTCCCGCTTCCTCTCAGCATCATCAGGGTTATCTCCACTGTCAGATCAGAGCAGCCATCCATGTGTGTGGCCATTCAAAAATCACAAACGGGCTATGGGGACACAAGCCACCCTCTCAAGCAGGCCCCATACATGGGACACAAGTGAACACCAAGGCATGAGCTCATGTACTCATTTTTGGGCTTCCAGAGACCCTTATTTTCTAACAGGCTCCTAAAAACCCCCAGCCTGGGCCAGGGTCCCATGCACAAGCCAGGGAGTTCTCCATTATACCAGGTAATTTCCCTCCATGCACAGTCAGTCATCCCCCAGTAAAAAGAGACACCTTGTCCAGCCCTCTTATGAGCTAACAGCTCTCTCCCCTTTATGAGATGGAGAAAGGATCACGGGAGCAGGCAGCCCGTATGGGACCAGGGGATTTGGAGAGTTTCTCAGCCTGGACTGGAAAGGGAGCCTTGTTCCTTTTGCTTTTCTCATACATACCATGTTAAATATTTATGATCATGCTTCTCTGAGAATGGGTAATTCAGTTGCTCACTTACCTCCTCTGTCTTTTCCCTTGTGGGAGATGCGAAGTATTAATCAGAGTAGAGGGTTCATTCATGTAGAAGGGGCACTGTGTTTGACAGGTTTCTTGCCTGGCTACTGAAGGACAACTCCTCCCCTCTTGGTGCCTGCAGTTGTTTTGGAAACGGAATGCACACCGGTACAGTTCACAGCATAGCTGTGGATAAAGATGGTCTTAAACAGTCATCCGACTCCTCTAAGTAGATACCTTTCATATTATTACATAGGAGGATAATTACAATAATTAGGGCCTGATTCTGCTCCTGAAGTCAGAAGTAAAGAAAATAGTTACTTCAGGAACAGCAGCAGGATTAACTCCCAAGATACCCATATTGATAAGCAGGAAAATGGATGAAGGATAGTGCCTTCACAAAGAAATTGGCTTGGATAGGTTTTACTCCTCTCTTAAACGTACCTTTGTTACAGCATAATTGCTGCCAGCCCTCAGTAGGGATGAGTGGTGCTTTGCTGGGGGAGGATGATCAGTGATCCTGAGGAGAATCAAAGTAGTAAGATCAGATTAGGGAGCAAATTGGATGGATGGAGGAAACAGAAGTGGAAATGCAGGGAGCAAGGACAGGGGAGCTGGTTGTCTATGAATGGGTGGTAGAACAGCAGCTGCTGGAGACTTTTGGTCCGAGCAGAGGTCTCCAGCAGGGAGCTGCCAGGTCTGTAGACTGAATGAATGGGGAAAACTGGAGCAAAGCCTGGAGTTATATCTTGGTGCATTTCTAAAGATTCTTGTTTGCATACCCTTTGGAGAGTTCCTCCCTAAACAAAGAAGTTAATATTTTAAATGCATTCCTTTAAACAGCATGGAGGATAAAGGAATAATAAAATATTTACCATGAGATGAAAGGATGATGCTGTTGAATTGCAGCTTTCAAATCCCTGTTTTCTGCCAAGGGAACATGGAAACAGAGAGAGAAGGCTGGGGGGTATCCTTCAAAAGGCTTAGTTAGCTTCCCTTAATCAAGCCCAATGTTAGCAGGCATTGATTTGAATAGCAGATCTCTCTGGTGCCCAGGAATCTGTTGGTAAAACACATTTCAAGTCAAAGCAGTGTGTTTGTCCAAGATTTTGTGGAATAGTCCAAAGGCCAAATGGATAATGCTGTCCTAATGAAAAGGATACAAATGGAGACTAAAACACCCTTTGCTTGGAAGCATTATGATGTTTTAGATTGGAGGACAAAATCTGTAACAAATAGTAAGAGTCTTTGTGATGTACCAGCTGGAATTCTAGGAGCATATAAATTCCATTTTCTAATTCTCTGTGGATATTTTAATTTAGAAATAGGCATTTTATAAAGTGATTCGGGTTTGTGGTTTTTGTTTGGTTTTGGGTTTTTTTTTTCAGTGGATGTTATACCGTTTATTCACAATTACATGTCCATACCTGGTAGAATTCAACCCCTGGTTTACCTTTAACTGGTTCTTTCCTTAAAGGATTGTTAAACTAGAGAAATATGAATTCTGGGCAAAGTTGAAGTGTATACTGAATATTTCATGGGTTAAATATGATTCTTTAACTTGTATCTATGGAGACATAGGCCATATGCATTAATATTTTGCACAAAGGAAGATGGCTTTCATCATCAACACATGCACACACTGTCCATTAAGAAGACATTATAAGACACTTAACATTTTCTAATAAAAGCCATATGTTATGGTTATGGATGTAAAAAGAGATGGGAGTTTGATTTATACTCCTGTAACCTAACACAGACATTGCAAAAAGACCTTAAACTCACAACAGCTAATTTACAGTAAAATAATTAATAGCATCATTAACAAGTGAATGGTATATTAAAGCAATCATTAGTAAATTAGAGTCAGGCAACAAATCCACTGTTACATCACTTTTAATTGTGCTACTTTCAATTACAAACTGTATTTCAGTCATGCAGAAATTTAAATTCACATTGCCATTTTGTCAAAAAAAATACATCACAAAAATTTGTCGTCCTAATTGGATCTGAGACTTGTACTAGTGGTGGTTATTGTAGACATGTTTGGTGTTTACATATGGCACCAAAACATATGTCAAAATAACATCTTAATATAAGCATCAGTTTACATAACCGTTACACTGTTATACTCAGGCAAGTAAAAGCAGTACCATATATGAATATTAAGATTAAACGAAAACCTGCATATCTGAATAAAGCAAGTTTTCTCTGGACTATATCTGCTACACTAATTCAGTGAATGTTTAGGAACTGTCTACAGAAAGCTCAGCATTTACTCAAATCTAGCCATTCCTGGAGCCTTTTCATGGACACTGCTTACAAATACAAGTAGGTTTGGCTGTTATTGCTTCACCAGCACCTAACTCATACTAAATTACATCTGATCTCATTGTAGATGGCCAGGGGAGACTGGAAGAGCATTTGTGTGTGTCAGGGAAAATCAGCTAACTCTGCAAATTTTGTCTGTTTCTAAACTTACTTTGACAAAGCATAAGCTCCTGGTCACTAATTGTTTGTCTTTAGGTGCAACATAGTCAACAGTTTCTTGTTAAAATAATAGTGGCTGAGTTTAACTAAATTCTAGTTTTCTAAGCACTAATTTTGTAAATAAGGTAGTTCTTTCTAAAAGATGAAATACCTTAAAAAATAGCATCATCTTCCAAATCTGTAATAATAAAAGGTAGCTTGTTTCAAATCGCAGATTGCCTTAGACACCTACCTTAATAAGATAAATGGGTGTCGCACTTCTCTGTAATTTAAAGAATCCACATTTGGATAACAGGCAAAGTCTGGTACCTGGAGGCCGGAACAGAGTAACAGATAAGGTGGTGGAAATGATCAGATTTACAGAGATACTGGGTGCATATGTAGATAGACAGGCATCCAGGTGGATTTTCAAAAGCATCTGATCAGGCACCTAAATATCACTGCATGTCAATGGATATTGTGCACCTAAATTGGTGAGACATTTCTTTAGAGCTTATTAGAACTGTCTTTTTTGCATCGTCAGGCAACTTTGTAAATTTATTTTTCATAAGTAGATGCAAAGGGGAAAATAGAATCACTCAGAAAGCTACACAGATACACTAAAGCAGCATATCTGAGAGTTAAGTTGTAATAGAGTTCCTGCCTTCTGCACTCATTAGACTTCAAAGGCCCCTCAGTACACAAATGTGTGAAAATTATTGTCTTAGCACCCTCTCATCTTCACATTTATGTCTGGTCATGCTGTTCTTACATGAGCGAAGCTCCCACTGACTTCCTGGGGAGTTTGGCCTGCAGGTATCTAACATCTTTGCCCCCTTCCTTCTCCTTCTCCCCAGCAGGATAAGGTTGTGTTTCCCACTGTCGTTGGGTTAGTCAGCGTTTGGGAACCAGAAGCTTTCAGCTGAGATTCTGCGCTAGTGCTCACATTCCAATTGGACTGTTAAGCTTCCTTAATGAACTCTCAGGAAAGCTTTTGTAGTCCTTCCACATAAACATTTTTACTGTTTTTAAATAAAAGCTGGTTGGGATCCTATGGAAAATCCTTAACAGCTTGACTTGCCATTCTGGCACATGCTATACAGCTGTGATCTGGAAAAGGAAAGGCTTATGGCAAAACTCTCACTCACCCTTCCCTCATCTTCTCCCTCATGTTATCCTGCAGAGGGATCCGCTTTCCTCAGTGGGTGATTTTTGAAGGACGAGTTTCTGACTCTGAGAAGGAGACAGGAAAAAGGATAGTGGGGAAGGGATGAGAAAAAGGTATTCCCCAAGGATTTCTTCCAGCTTTCTTTGATACATTCAAGAGCATTTCAGCCTTGCTGTGTTCACTTAAACTGATTTTCCTCTGTATAAACTACATCCCATAGGTATGAGAAGGCTTGTGGGATCCTAGTTGCTGAATAACTGTACTGTCTCAAGGGTTAGAGGCTGGGGTGGTTTCTGCTCATCCTTTACCCTGGCCCAGTACAGCTAAGCTCAGGAACTGGGGAAATGGGAGCAGGAATAGATACTCATCACACTTCACAAGGGGAGCTTATTCTGCAGCTGTCTGATGAGGGACACAGATCGCACAGGAGTGCTCCATGGACAGTGCTCTGGGCACTCCTGCTGAGTGTCAACAACAGGGAGAGGAAGGAGCAGAGCCCCGCATGCCTTCCCCACAGACATCTCTCTTCCCGGGGAAGGATTTCATCAAAGGGGCCCTGATGGAGCTGCTTTCCCACCTTGGACCTTTCTGCAGTCTCCCCTGCAGAGGCATATCTAATCCTGCACTGAAGCTGGCTGCAGTAATTCTCACCATATACTTTGACAATTAACGAGACAGCCTAATTTTAACTGCACGCTGCATTACAGCTCTGGAAAAATGAGAATCTTTCCACATTAAATGAAGTTTCCCCTGCACTTGTAGTATAATGGCATTACA